GCAGATTTATCTCAGAGAGACAAAAGTCTGTTGGTTTAGCATATATTTTGTGACAACACTCCAGTAAATTTTGCAGCTAATTTTAACAGGCCTGCATCAAAAGGAAAAAACAAAATAAAAAATACATCATTTAGCATGACATGAGTCACACCAAAGGTCTGAAATATTTTATAAAGGCTGAGGAGGAAATACAGTTTCCAGAGGAAATACAGTTTTCTGGTAGAATGTGCTCATACTATTAATTAAGTTTATTTACTTTTAGCCTGTCAAGGATCATATGTCTTATCATTATAGTATCATTCTGAGATTTTTTTAGAGGAGGATGGAGAAGAACATTCCATAGTAAAAAAAAAAAAAAAAAAAAACTATAGATACTGGGTGATGCATGACAGTCACATGACATGAATGAGTACAGTTTTCCCATGCAACTAAGACATGAATTCCACAGGAATAATGGTCTGTGTTAAGGAAGAATTTGTCTAAAGTCACAAGACAGTATATCTTTTCAAAGTGATTGAAATGATGGCATCAGGTTATGGCTTAGGATTCATCAGTTGATTAAAAATATAGTAAACATTTGAATTTGTATTTCTCCAGGTGTAACAATTTTTGCATGTTTGAAATCTAAGTCTGATATTTTCTTACTCTGTGCTTCCATGACTCTATTTTCCCAATTGACAACCTATTCCAGTGGTTGGATTGGCACACACATACTAATGCAGAATACCAGAAGAGATTGAATTTAGTCTAAAATTATTCTTGATGCAGTGTTTCACTTTCAGAGCTGTTTCCAATTGGTCAGAGTATGCAAATTAAATTTCATGTGCAATTACAGATTTTCTAATTTTCTCATTTAGTTTATGTGTATAAAAGTCATTAAGTGACATCCAAAGCAGCACAGGAAATACAATTTGACATTTTGATTTTTTTTGTTTACTAATGTCCTTTTCATATCTGTGGATGTAGCTCAGTGGTAGAGGGCTTACCTAGCATGCCTATGGTCCTAGGTATAATCCCCAGCACCACATATACACACATAGAGTAAATACTAATGTGCCCTTTACCTTGAATTTTCAATTATTATTTATGAATTTATTTTTTCTATTATGCCTTTGTTTTGAAACTATAACTTATTAAATTTATTTTTTTCAGAACTTTCAGCCTACTTTTACATACTCATTTCATATTACATGGTACACATTCAAACCATAATACAATTCTGTTAAGTCATCATAAATTCAACATGATCTGTAAAACACAGTTTGATGATTAGGTTTATCCAATGAAACAAAGGACTACAGCTTTCTAAAATTTTGTTTATGTCTTTCATCAGGTCTAGGGTTCCTTAATTGGTTATGAAAGAAAAAAAGTAACTTTTCTAATGATGTCCCAAAGGTTTTTTTGCTTGTTGTTGGTTATTTATTTATTTTTTATTATTTATGGAGATTGAACCGAGGTCCTGGCACATATTAGCAAGATCTTTTCTCCTGAGGTACTCCTCCATCCCTTTCTGTTTTCATTTTGAGACCAGGTCTCTATAAATTGCCCAGGATGGCCTAAAATTTGCAGTTCTATTGCCATAACCTGCAGACAATCTGAGATTTTAGGCATCAAACCTTTTAATTGTGTTGGCCAATTAATTTTGAATTTTCTTATAAGTTGTACCAGCAGAAAACTACTGAGCTTGTGATGGTTTTACAATTTATATGGTGCTTTTTTACCAAGACCTTTCATCTGTACTTTACAAGTTGACATTCGACTTCATGAGCAGAACTCATGTACAGATACAGATATATGATACTTATAATATTGCATAAAGAGAATGTATAGATTTGAAAAATGAATGGCTAGATCACAAAGGCTTCGGATCCATTTATGTTTGACATTTACATATTTGTTAGTTTTATGAATATTTTAATGATTCATAATTATAAATCAATGAGATTCTCATGCTTTCCAGCACTCTAAGCAATCCATAACGTCTTATCTTCTATAACTATTAACAGCTATTAAATAAAAGCAACATGTAATAAAATTTAGTCATTTAATAAAAGTTATCTTTTTTATTAGATTTTTAATAAAATTAAGGCATTATGCTTTATGTATCCATGAACAAATACCTAAGCAACATAACATAACATGAATATGGATTTAACATAATGGAATATTTACATGTGATGAAGATGTGATCAAATGTGGGAATGATGTCATTTATAGTATGTATCTTGTAATCTTGGCTCACAGAAAACTTAAATTACAGTTGATCAAATATTTAATTATGGCTTATAGGATATACTAAGTGTTATTTATTTACCAAGCTAATTAATCTCTTCATTTTATCATGACAGTTGATATCCACCACTGAAGAATATGAGTGTCTTAGGCATGTTCTAAGAAAAAGTTTGGTAATATTTGTAAACTGTAATTTCTGTTCTGACATAGACTTTCTCCTTTTAGTAACAGTAATATTTCTTTGAAAGATGAAAAATAAGGGGTTGGATTACATTTTCAACAATTTCAAAGGATTCCTTTCTTGAGTTAAGATAATTTCTTGATTAACTAGATATATTTAATTTTTTAAAAATTGCTATTTCATACTATAATAGAAAGTTTTGTCTAAAACACAAAATGTGCTCTCATGGCGAGTAAAAATTGTTTTTGTTCTTGAAAAGAAAAGAAAAATGTCAGGAATTATTTTCCCATTAAAATTTGTAATTTGTTCCAAAAAGAGAGTTAGCTTTTGCCTGGTAATTAGAAGAAGCTGTGGAGATATTTAAGGTGCTAATTTCTGTAGCAGTTCTTTCAGTGATATGCCAATATTCTGAAAAAAAAACACCCTAATATTATATTGCATCATAATTATCAGTCTTAATACCATCCCCAATCTCCATTTTCTAATATTCTTGTGTGAAATAGTAAAATAATATGTATAATTTTCTGTTTTCATTTTCAAACACAGAGCTCCTAAAGCCATCATAACAAAGGTACTAGGAGAAAATGTCGGTTCTAATATTTAGTCTTTGACCCGATTCCCCATGTAGAACTTTGTGATTTCCTGAGACTGGGAGTGTCTTCTGGCATACTGAGGTGACTCTTGAAGGGTTCCTGGATGGGGCCTGGTCACCAACAAGACAAATCAATAATAAGAATTTTGAAAACTTCAGCCCCACACCTCATTTTCTGGAGAGAACAAAGTAGGGGACTGAAGATAATAAGTGATTATGCCCAGTGATGAAGTTTCCATAAAAATCTCCTAAGTGTAAGTTTCAGACAGGTTGCAAATTATTGAACAGGTGCTGCAAATGTGACCCATCCACTTCAGGCATTCTGGACCCTTGCAATCCTTGCTTTCTGTGTCTCTTCATCTGGCTATTCATTTGTATCCTTTAAGAAATCCTTCATAATAAATGAGAAATCGTAAGTAAACTGTTCTTCCGGGTTCTGTGGGTCACTGTCGCACATGGTGGAACACAAGGAGAGAGTCATGGGAACCTCTGCTTTGTAGCCCATTCAGATAAAACTGTAGGTACCCTATGGTCTGAAGTGAGACAACCGCCCCCCCCCCACACACACACACTCAATATTGTGGGACTAAGTCTTTATCCTGTGGTGGAGTCTATACTGATGCCATAGTAGTGCCAGAATTGAATTGAATTGTAGAATACCCACCATTTGGTAATAGAGAATTGGACAGTGTGAAAACAAAACAACCGTCCTAAAAAAAAAAAAAAAACCCAAAACAAAAAGCAAAAACTAAAAACATACACATGACTGCCGAAGTGCTGAGTGTGAATATAGAGAAAACTTTTTTCTTCACTCACTTAAGAGATTTTATCAAAACCAGCCATTCCTATGGTTATTAGCAAAGGGCCTGAGAATCTGCTGGAAAGAATATGTAAATGTTTGGTTGAATATTTATTAGAACATTTCAATCCGTTCTTAGAAGTTAAGTACAGTCATAGAATATACACGATCTCCAAAATAAAGCACTCATTTGTGTTCTATTTCAAATTAATATTTAAAAGGTTTGGTAAAAAGTGTAAATAAATGTTTCTGGTTTTGCTTTGATTTCAAATATCTGGACAACTATATACAGATACTTCAATTGTAAAGGGAAAAAATAAATACTTTTTTTTTTTTTTTTGGTACTAAGGATGGAGCCTAGGGGCGCTTAACCACTAAACCACATCGCCAACACCATTTATTTATTTAATTTGAAACAGAATCTCACTAAGTTACTTAGGACCTTGCTAAGTGGCTGAGGCTAGTCTGCAACTTGCGATCTTCCTTTCTCAGCCTCCTGCCTTTACATTCACTGGGGCTATAGGCATGGGCTACCATGCCAAGCTACTTTTATTTTTTAAAAAAGAAATTTCCAATGGATACTGTTGGGATTTTCTTTTTTTTTTTTGGAACCATGAGGAACAATGTCATTCTGAAAGCATGTGCATCATTAGAGTGGATATATGGCTAAAAATAAGTTCATATCATTGCATTAAACCATGTGGGTTCTTGATATATTGAATGCAAAAAGGAAATAGACATACAACATCAAATATGTGAGTCCTAATTAATATGTGTTTCTGTGGCATGTGTATTTACTTGTGTGATTTGTTATGAGTATGTGTATAGATATTTTTTTGCACACATAACAATTTGTCTGGTGTTATCCCCAAAGTCAAATTGTAGCAATTCCAGAATGGAAAAACTACTAAGAAATCATCTAGGAAAATAGAGCAATTACTGTTGTATCAATTTAAATCCTGTAGTTTTGTTGTTCATATATTTATGAGGAACAAAATATTCAGTTTTTCTTGAGAAGCAACTTTATCAAATATAAATATATATTCAACTCAATTTTATAAAATCACATCTGAATAGAATTGGTATTTAAATAACACATATTTGGAAAATGTCTCTATTCACTGCTGATACTCATACCCCTCCTCTTTGAGCATTTTTTTCTCCAAATAAATGAAATGATAGCATATGAATTTTGATTCTGTTTGTTTTAACTATCACATTTAATCATGGTTACACAGTAGCACCAAAATTAGGACAAAATACAAGAATTACAGGAGAGATTTTTAAATGATATGAGCTCATTGCATGCTTTAAAAGTCTCATTTCTGAGGAAAAATAGTTTCCAACTGCCAAAATTTTGCTGCATTTTCTCCCAAAAGAAATATATACCCCAACCCACCCCAAACTAAACAAAAGATACAATAGACTGATTTTTGAATAGATATGTTATCTACAGTTTATAGGACAGACAGTCCATTTAAATAGAAAAAGATTGATTTTACATAAAGCAAGATAGAGTACAAAAGCACAGCTTTTGTAATTTTGGTAATATTGCAATTTTACAAACATATTGCATAGTATATGTAAGAAAATAGTTCCATTTTTTTATATATCTCTATATACAAGAAAACATTTACATGAAAGTTACAAAACAAAATAAATGAATAGTGGACCTGATTTAAAGAATTGTATAAATAAGGAAACAAACTCCAAATTACATATCTCCATTGTAAATGAATATCCTTGCACATCTTTAACCCTGTTTGGTTTTTATTTATAAATATTCAAATGAAAGAGATATTCAGACTAGAAAAACAAAAAGAATCACAGTTCATTATACCTCATTTCTTTTCCTGTTTTTCATTGACTTTCTCAAAGAGTGGAGTCACATCAATTAACACTTAAAAAAATAGCCCTCTGGTTCTAGAAGTATTTCAAATTAATGATATTTAGCAAAGATTTTTAGCAAGCAATGAAGGTTTAAACTCAGCTGAGTTAATCCATCCTGAGCCCATTTTGGCATATGGTCTTTAAATACTGGTTTTATGAAGACCAAGGAATCTATTATGTTTGTATAGAAGATAAGTAGATCACACTAACAGAGTTTTTATTCTACAACAAAAGCATTAACTAATGGCTACTGCTCAGAATCCCACAGGAGGATATTTACTACCTCGTGTTATAATCATTAGTCCCTTCATTATTTTAATCAATTAGTAGAAGCATCAGTGTTATAGAATTAAATATTGTAGAAATCCCAGTCTTTGGTCTTGACATTTAAACAATTAATGGACTGTAGTTTGAAACAAAACAACAGTGTTTATGAAGTCATTCCTTAATACATGATTGTGTTAAAGGAATAAAAATACAGTATTATCTTACTTTTTGATAATGATATTTTGAAATTTTCATTATTATAATATGCACTAGTACATAAAGGAAATAGTTTCTCCATTTAAATATGATCATGTGAGCAATTCTAATTAGATCAAAGCTACTGCAGAAGAAGGTGACAAGATCTCACTCATATGAAACTTAAATGAGTTTGGCTTTGATAGTTGTAGAGAGAATTTGATCATTAAATATCTTCAACTATTTTAATACTTTAATATTATGATATTGATATTATCTGATATAAAAATATAATGTTTATATGCATTAGAAACTCTCCAGATTATTACTGCCTCATACAGAGATAGCATGTTGGCAATGGCATAATTCATTAGGAGTTTTATTTTTCTACGAGGCACTGTCCAATTGAACCATTAAAGTAGTAGAGTATGTAGAAATTTTGAATGACATAACACATTATAAAAAGCTCAGCAATTGACTTTAGTGATAAAAAGATCTTTTCTTCAAAAAACCAATTCCTTTTAGCATGATGGAGATAAAAACAAAACAGTTGACAGAATGCTTACATTGGTAAATAGTTCTATTAACTTCCTAAAGAGTTATTTTGAATGAGACCCAAATACACACTTATCCTTTTTAATATGAACTGTATTCTTGAAGACAGTCAATCAAACATGATTTTCTCAAAGTGACCTCAATGTACAAATAGTAAGAGCGAAAAATGGAGAACAGGATGAAAAGGTTGGGAGATGAAAAGATTCGTATTTCAACATTTATTAGCATCTCTTTAATGAACATGTGATGATCACAAATGCTAGTTTAAACCAGGCTGAAGATTGGCTGAGTCTTTTCTAAAATGAACCATTAAAATTCAGGAATAAAAGTGACCAAGGAAAACACCTCATTTAAAATATCCCTCTCAGAGATAAGTAAACTGGCAAGAGAATTAAATATATTTCTTAAGGAAGTTTACATGATCAGCTAGGGCTAAAACCAGAATTGAAATTCCTGACTTCATTTTCAGAGATTTGGGGTAGTGTAAATAAAGGTTTCCAAGTTAACATTAAAATTTGAAGTATGTAATTGTCTAAAATTCTTAAGATAAATAATTATATAGCAGATTATGAAATTTATGGTGCATAATAAAATATGAAAAAAATAGAACCAAAAAGTACAGTGTAGAAATTAGATTAAAATAATCAGGAAATTTAGAAGTGCTGTTATTTTTTGAAGTGTTTTATTGAAATATCCGGAAAGGGGAAAAAAAAATAATATGTCTTCTTTTTGTCTTTTTGACCCGCCCAAACTGAACTCAAATACATTTCATTTATCCATTTCTGGCAAATAATTTAAAGGCCAAGAATACTCCCAAACCCCTTTGTTTCTTCTTTTTTTCCTGACTTTCTAAGCTAAACTATTACAGCTGAGTAGGGTTCATGTAGTATACTTTAAAGGATTTACTTTTCTGAGTGTGATTTAGAGAAGATGAAATTTGCATCATCCAAGTAAACTGAATTTTAGGTACATATGCTCTAACTTAAAAAAATGTTAATAGATAATGAATCTGTTTGGGTAATCTGTAATTGAGGGACCTAATGTGTCAAGGAAGAAACAAGTCATTTGCATTAGGAAATGAAGTACTACTAGGGTCAATCATCTAAGATTTTTAACAGAAGCCTGAACTCAGACTGCATCTTAGATCCTGAGAAATGTAAAACAGTCATGTAATTCCAACAAATTAGTGATGTGTAGAAAGAACTCTGTATCAATTTTTTTTTTCTCTTAAACTGAACAAATATTTTTATATCATCTGGGCATAATCTAAATCTCTCAAATGGGTCTATACTTTTGAATTCTATCTGTATTTTTATTATAATTTTGAATTGAAAATCTGACAGTCTTTCCCCTGGAGTTGGTTTCTATCTCCCTTCTTCTGATCATACTTGTCAACTTCTCATCACTTATGATATGTAATTTAAATTTTCAGTGTTCCCCTGTACCTTTTATAATATTTTTTTTCTGATAACTAGAACATCTTAGAGCTGGAAGGGACCTCAGAAGACATTTAATGTTTTTGTTGTTAAGTAAACAGAATCCTGCAGGTATTCTCAGATTGCTTATGTCAGCTCAACTATTAGTAGAAGATTTTAGAAATAGGGCCAATTATTCATCAATAGAATTGTACCCCTTTGACTAAGAAACTTCTTAATTACTTTAAGTTAGATGACTAAAGCTCAAATATGTCTCAAAGAAAAATGTTTTGCTTGACATAATATAGTAATTAGCACCCATAATTTCTCAAAATTTCTTGTGTTATAATTCGAGTATTTTCCAAAGACTTAATTGTGTGAATTTCTCATACAAAATTCTAATGTTTCAACAAAAACTGTTGTAAATTTTTAAGCAATTGTATGTCATAATTCTTATTTCAATATTGATTTAAAGACTTATATAATAACCCTCAAATGCAGATAAATTTGTATTTAAAAACAATAACATTGAAATAGCTGAATTCCAGACCCTTCCGTTGAGTAAGAATGCATTTAGTGAAATTGAATTTTTTCAATTACTAGAAATGATTTACTATCCAGACAAGATAATTCTGACCAAATAGTTCACTTTGATGATTTTGTTACCCGATTTTCTCACAACCAAATTACTTTGATAAATTACAGTCTCCCATTTTGCTCCTTCATATGGAAACAGTCAAGAACCCCCAAAATGAAACTTGAGCATATTTGTTAATAGTGTGTATAGAGGTGAACAGAGTGATTGATGTGTGAAAATGAAGAACTTACCTTACAGTAATTAAGTCATCTTCCCATAATAGGAAATATTTAATATAGATTTACATTCTTGGATTCTGTAGGTTGCAAGAATTTGAGTTAAGGAGTATTATGATAAACAAATCTACATTATTCTGGAATTATTTATTAGAAGCTAATTTACAAAAAAAAAAACAGTGAAGAATGGAAGGAGCTAGATTTCTGAGGTCAGGGTAGCTTGACATTTTAATAAAAGTGACTAAATGTTTGCAACTGAATATAAATGTGACTAAATTTCTTAAAATATGAATCTAAAAGAGGAAACAACACTTTCAGAATGTTTATTAACATTTGTCTTTTGTAGTGTTCAGTCAGAATTTTTTTATTTAATTTATAATCTCCTTAAACCTTCAATTTTAAAAAGTGAAAACTCTAAAGATGATATCCCAATGGAAAGTGAATCCATTCTCAGCATTATACATCATATTAGTATTTATTTAGAGGATGTTTTTAATTTTAGCAATCCAAGTCAAGTATAAAGTGAATGGAGCAAACAAAAACTGTACTATTAAAATTTAGGTGTAAAGGGTAGCATATGAATTTTTAAGGAAATGATCTATGGATTCCACATCATTGATATTTCCCTCTTAATCCTATCTTATCTTGCAATAAATTAGATGTTTTGTTAAAAGCAAATACGTCACATGCAATAGCCAAGTAAATACTATATAAGGCCATCCAGATATGACAAATGATAGGATAATGGCATTTTGTTAATTCTGTAAAGATTATATTGCTGAGTGCTTTCAAAATTACCTAATGTACAAAATTCTAGACTTAGTAGACAAAGAGTAACAACACATTGGATTTAAAGAAACAAAACTCAGGGAGGGATTCTGTCTTCTTTTGTTTTGTTAAAAATCATGTATCGAATTTAATTTTTAGTAAAGCAAGCATTACATAATGCTTCAAAATTTTAAAATTCGGGGATAAAAGTTTACATCCAAAAAGATGAATGGAAAATTGTGCTTTCAAACTGTAGAATTAGTTTTCTTACAGGGTTAACCATTTCATCTTGCCATTGGATACTGGGAATTTCATCTATGTGATGTATATTTATGTGCAGTTCATATCCAGGTTCTGCAAAAATCTAAAACTGTGTGCTTCACTTCATGTAGCAAAGGCACCTATGTTATTCTCCCTTTTGAGCAAAAGTTATGATCCAGCTTTCCTGTTGAAGATGACGTTTCCACTGCTATGTCACTCACGTTCTCTGTGTTTAGCAGTCTGGTAAGTCACAAGAGAAGGTGGTGGCGGATCCCTGCTTACACTGCAAGAAGTCGCTCTGTGGACCATCGGAAGAAGTTCTGGACTGATCACAAGGGAAACCGAGCAGAAGTGTGAAGCAGACGGACAGGAACAAAAGGCTATTCTGGTGTGAGGAGAAATCAGTCACTTCAGCTCCACAAGCAGATGTTGCTACTGGACTGACAAGTGGAACCTACCCCTGCTGGAGAAAGGTAGAGTTTGCCATTGGGGCAGACACAGAGTTCGTACACTGTCTGTCGGGTACTTGAGGAGCTGGTTGAAGAAGATGAATAGGAGCCGGTCGGTAGATTTCCCAGCCGGATGGTATCTGCATTTAAAAATATCTAGGGGGAAAAGAGATTTCATTTTAATTCATTGCAGCCTCCTCCATCCCCCCAGAGCTGCCATGCTTTGTTGAACAAACAAATGACATTCCTCCAGTATGGTCCAAACACTCTGCAGCTGTCTCCTCCTTTGAGAGCATTTTCTGCATTCTGACAGAAAGCCCTCAATCTGAAAAGTAATATTGTACAATCTGCTCAAGGGGCCCATCCAGTTTTTTAAACACCACGGAAAATTAATGATTTCCATAGTCTCTCGATTTAACTTCTTGATTTTGCGTAGTATAAAGAATGTACAAAAAAAAACCCCAAAGATGTCAATAAAGATGACATTACTGAAGAAATGGGCAATTGAAGAAAAAAAAGATACTTTCTGGTCTATTTTTAAAAATACTAAGAAAATCATGTTGACTCATACTCCAAAGTTATCTCAAGTAGATCATCAGCCCAATTAACAAGAGATAATTATTATGTAGAGTCAGAATTGAAGTTTCCATGAAATATATTACATGCATTTGAAACCCACTTTGCTGAATCTTTTTGCTTGGAAAATTATCTCACTATTCTTAATCATAGTCTCCTACCTTCAGGGACAGCTTGATTACATGCATCATATGGTTTTGACGTGGTTGGGGAAAATTCCAAAGAAAGAAAAATTGAATCACGAATTTCAACGAACAAAGAAACAACTCTCTCCATCAATTTCTTAATTCTATTGTTATAACCTGATTACTACCTAACTGGCAGTCCTCCTTGTTCCCCTTTTGCCCTTATGGGAGTTTCATTCATTTCTTAATAGGACTCTTGCAATACCCCCTTGAACTGGCCTTATGACTCCATGACTCCATTCCTGTCCGTTTGTCATTGATCTTACATACTGCTAGGATATGTAATTTTTTTTTTTTTTTTTTTGGTACTTGGGATTGAACTCAGGGGCACTCAAACACTGAGCCACAACCCCAGCCCTATTTTGTATTTTATTTAGAGACAGAGTCTCACTTGCTTAGTGCCTCACCGTTGTTGCTGAGACTGGCTTTGAACTGTATTCTCCCTCAGAGCCTCCCTAGCCCCTGGGATTACAAGCCTGCAATACCATGCCTGGCTGGTAGGGTAAATTTTTAAAAAATGCAAATCAAACCAACCAAGCACTCACAACTCTCTAAAAGTCTCCCAGAGACTTGCACCACCTGCCCAAACTCCTCAACACCATCTCCTGCAATTCTCCTTTCCCCAGTTCTTGCACTTTCTCCAACATACCAAAAGTATTGACTTCAGAGCTATTTTACTCTTTATTTCCTCAGTCTGAAATACTTTGTTACAAAGGCTCATAAGTGGGGATAGATATAAACTGAGTGACTGGGAACAAGGGTGGAGAGTCATTTCCACTGTTGATCTTTTTATACTCCAAAAAATTTTTGAATGGTGGGAATCTATTGCAAAGTATAAAGGATTACTATACTAAGGGCATAGATATTTCAGACTGGTTTAATTATAAATTTGTTCCAATGTTCGCTAAAAGGTCACCTCTGCAGAAATTATTAACTGTATTAAAATAACACTAATCCTTTAATCTCTACTTAACAACTGTTTGTTTCTATAGTAACAAAACTTTAATACTACTATATTAAGTTTGTATTTGTTCATTCATTATTTCTTCTACTTGACCCTCTTCCATGAGGGTCAGGTCTGACTTTAGTTCTTAGCTACAGATCAGGGCAAAGAACTGTACTAGTGTGTGCCGAGTGACATAATGCTCCTCCTTAACCTTAGAAGTGTCTTTCTTTTGTAGTGTACTAGTACACCCTCCATGAAAGCCAAGTTCATATGCTTTTTTTTCCCCCAAGAATCTTCCTTAATAATCTAAGATGGAATGGCTTTTCTCATTTGATCATTCCATTGGAATTAATTATTTTTGGTACTTTATGGTGCTGGTCACTCAATATATAATTTTATTCATTTATTATACTAGACTGTATCCCCTACTAAACTGTATCCTATTAGAGAAGTAGAATCATGGCTGATTTTTTAAAAATATGTTTTTCTAACTTCTCAGGATGTCTGACCTAGAAATATATTTTCACATAATACAAATAGCTATTGAATAAAATAATGAATCATCAAATGAATGAATGGTGGCATTTACCAGCAGTGATCAAAGTTACGAAGGCACATTAAACATTTGTGAAATGTTAAAATACATTACTCCATATCTATGTCTGACTGAAGGGTAGGAAAGCAAAGAGATTGAAATGACTTCTGTTTTAATTTTTAAAGAAAATATCTGCTTTTCTGAAGCCAAAGTAATAAGTGCACAAAACTAAATAAAAGAACATGGCTATCCACTTTGAAAGTGTGAGTGTTGGTCCTCATTTCTCCTTGCTCCATTTTTCCCTGCTGAGGGACATAAAGGAGTGAAACAAGAATTGTTACACATTTTAGGCTGGGCAATCTTATTCCTCCACAGAGGAAGTGGGATGACTCCTTTCATTAGCTGACTTTGAGAGAGAGCAAGTGGGTATTATTCAGTCCCTTTTCTCAAAACTTTTTGTTTTATTTACTTTTTATTTGAAAATAAAATAAAAAATATTTTATTTTATTTTCAGAATACTCTTTGATTCATTGTACACAAATGGATCACAACTTTTCATTTCTCTGGTTGTACACAATGTAAAGTCACATGCATGTACCTAAGGTAATAATGTCCATCACATTCTACCATCTTTCCTACCACCTTTGTCCTAATCAAAGTTTCCCCACTCTCCCCACAACCTACCCCCATTATCGATTAGCATCCACTTATCAGAGAGAACATTTGGCCTTTGTTTTTTTTTTTTTTGAGATTGGCTTATTTTGCTTAGCATGATATTCTCCAACTCCATTATTTACCTGCAAATGCCATAATTTTATTCTCTTTTAATGCTGAGTAATATTCCATTGGGCATATGTACCACAGTTTCTTTATCCATTCTTCACAACTTTCTAGAAATGGGTATGCTTGCTGAGACCAAACATTCTCAAGCTTTAAGAAGGCCAAAAATATTACAGGGGCAAGCTCCAGATCTGTGATATTTAGGTCTGATTTAGAAGAAATGAAATACCTTCTAGAAACACCACCTGGAGCTGGTTTTTAAGCCAAGATACATTGAGATGTAGATAATAGGCTGAGGAATAAGGAAAGCTAAAGAACATGTAGAAAATGAGGCTCATGTGGGATTGATAAAATCATTGCAAGATTCTGTGAATTGTGAATTCATTAGTAAGTACAGATAATTAGTGTTGCTAGTTAGACCTGATGGTTTGCAGGGGCTTGCTAACACCAAGCCACACCTCTGGCATTTACATTTATGGAACTAGTTGTTTCTTGAGTGGCTGTGGCCTGGGTGAATAAGTGCAGAGTAGTTGTTTCGTAAGGTAAGGCTAAAGCTTGCAGGTGGCAGCTTCAGAAAAAAAAAACAAAAACATCACTGTGGGCTTCAGCAAAGCAGTGAGCCTCGAAGGACTTGGCCCTGATGTGTGTAGGTTGCAGTACAGCTACAGCAGGGGTCTTTAGCACACACATTTAGGGGCTACTTAGGACAGTGTCTGGCCATATGACAATCCTTCATTCCATATAACCTTCCAAATTTCAAACTCTAGCTTTGCCCATGTAAAGGAGACAAAATTTATAATCAATATATTCGTTCATATGGAGCCTTTAGAAAGAAAAAAAACATTCTATTTTCTTGGTTTAAGATAGAAACATAAATCAAGAAGTAAAAAGGGCTGTTTCCCTTTGATTCCTTTTGGCACAGTGTTCCTGAGCCTCTCCAGGTCACTGCAATGGGGGTGGGCTCAATCAGCACCTCCTGTTGTTCTAAGTAGTTACTATCATGTTCGTTTTCCAGTTCCTAAGAGTGATATGCCTATTCTATATTGCCCTATAAACCACAGAAGCCATTTGTTCTGACACTCATCCTTGTTGTCAGAAGTGCATCCCTGAGTTTCAAAGTCATATCCCACCATCATTTCTTTACCCAGAAAGAATTCACTCACGTCATTCTCACCTGTTGAAAGCAGACTTATCATTCTCAAAGCCTTGGCCAATTTTCAAAATAAACAGTCTTCCTCAATGATCTGGATATGTTATTATATTGCATATTCTAGTATGCCACTTATAATACTCCATGTACAGTTATGATGCTTGTTTTTCTCTGGGATGAATCTAAATTCCTTGCAGCAGTCTGTTTGAAATTACTTTGAATATTCTCCAGTGAGGACTTCTATGTACAATTTCATCCTGTCTTTAATCCAGTATTTTGAATGCCTGCCTATAATGTGTGTTCTGATATTAAGTAGTAAAAAAAATCTGTGCAAATGTAGGTACTTTATATCTTTCTATAATGTTTAGTAAGTGATTAATTTGTGGCATAGTTGATACAGCAAAGAGAATTGTTTTATATCATTTTATTTTTTTCATAGCAGAATTATTTGTTATTTTAATAATATGAAGTGTTGTATCTTTCTGTAATTTCATTTTATTAATATAAAAATAAACCACAGATTAAAATCTTTGCCTATGATTTATTTATAGCATAATGTTCAATTGACAGTTAAATGCTAACCTGTAATTGAATCAAAGCATTTTACTTACACATTGAATGAAAGAACACAAGTAAATGGTTCATAAACAGGAGCACAACAGAGGTTAATAAACTCTGATATTTATTATGTGACATTCACTATGAATAATTTGAATGAATGGTTATATGACAAAGAGTAACTCTTTAAAAAGGAATCAAGATATTTTAAGAATTATTTCTGTTTTTCTGAGGCTGACAAAATATTGTAGCCTGCAACTGTAATTTTAAAAAATACCAAAAGGATATATAGATGTACTTTTTAAATGTTGTGAAGCATATTTATGGATTGTTTATGTGTGTTATCACTAAGTTGCTAACATGAACCTGCCAGTAAGTCTGTTTATAAAAGGAAACAAAATATATAATTGAAATTTATCTTGAACTAGCAACTGAGAGAATGGCAGAAAGTTAAGATTAACTTAATTAATCATTCATCTGGAAAGGTGTGAAATGCCCAAGAGCATCTTCTTCAGATTATTTTTCCATTATTTTTCTTCTCAACTTGACCTTTGTAAGCTCATGTTAAAAAAATGATAAGGAAACACATGAAAGAAGAAAAAGCAAATATGCTAGAACAGCAATACAATAGATTTAGAACCTTAAGGACTTTGGGAATTGTAGTCAGAATATACAGTGTGGAATATAAATTATGTATAAGGATTTAAAATAATTAAGATAGAATTGAAAATAAACCAACAAAAGAGCAACTACCATGATGTCCAGGCAGCTTTGAAAAAGAACAGATGATAATTTTTGAAGAAAATAATAAATCTCTATAATTAAAAGACCAAAAATATTTAATACTGGGAAGAATTTTGGGAATGAAGATCTGAATATATAAGCTGGATGAGGCCACAGGAAACCAAGAAATAGAAACTGGGAACGAGCATCCAAAGTCTTCTAGTAGAATGAAAGGTACAAAATTTCTTCAGAGTTTTAGGGAAAGACCACAGAGATAATGGGTGAGAGGTAATAGCTGAAGAGAGAATACAGAGAAATTTCCAAAATTGACAAAAATGTAAATATGTAGAAACAATAATTACAATGTGTATTTATAGCAATTCTAGAAAGACAACATATATGCATGTATGTGTACATGTAACATACATATGTAAATATGCATATATGCTATATATAATATCCCACATTATAGTGGGTGGAGGTCATCAAACACAAAGGGTTATTTACACCAGGCTGTGAGAATATGGATAATATTTAAAGTAACGACAAGACTTAAAGGAGACTCTTCAGGGCAGATAGTGGCATGAAAGAGAAATATGAAAATGTGTGTCCTTATCCAAGAAATAAAAATCAAAACAAATAGTAAAATAGTCCCTTATTTACCTTCTAGACAAATGTAGATGCTATTCCTACAGAAACAAAAATGCTGATATCCAAAGTCCTCCTTGGAAGAAACTTTTTGTTTTTGTTTTTAATTTATTTTTAAATGATAAATAAAACCAGAAAAGTTGTACATGTTAATTGGATACTATGCAATGCTTGATATATGTAAACATTGTATAATGCATAAATCAGGATACTTATTTTTTTGAAGACCAAAAGAGAACAAAGAAAACAGACTGTCTTTGTTCTTGATATCATCTTAATATTAATCATGTTTATGTGTTAATGGTGTGACTTAAAGAATTGAAATGCCCCATTTTAAATTGCCATGTGACTGAATATCTCAGTAGAAAATAAGTGGAGCTGTAACTTAAGAAAATAGTATTAGTTTTAGCAAGTTTCATGTTCAAGTATTAATATTTTCATACTTAAGCTTACTACTCCTGAAGCAGTTATTTATGTCACACTAGAACCACATGCATAGATCCTGAGAACTCAGCAATAAATGGGTCAATGGCTCTCCTGGGGACTCACCTCCCCCTCTGTAGACTGTAAATGCAGCTCCTTCCTGCAGGTAGCCTTGAAGTCACCTGCAGCAGCGCTCACCTGGACCCCACGAGGAGCTTCCATAATCAAGGATCTGGTAGGTGATTCAAGCCTAAGGGAACAAAAAAATCATGAAAAAAACAAAAACAAAAAAATCATTAACCTATTTATCCCATGTCCCAGATAAGCAACAGCTATAAAAACTTAAATTGATCAATGCATACATCACTTATAGTAATTCAAATTATCAACAGTAGAAAATAGGACCCTAGGACAGCGGAATACTACATAGTAATATACAATGCACTGACCAGATGTTCTGGGCAGCAGAAATGATGCCCACTTGCTCTCATTGTTCTGTGTATGAAATTCAGCTTTGTCCCTTTCTATCTTGCCTTGAGTTTTAAGAGGTTAACCTCTACACACCATGTCTATTATATATCCAATATCCTATTTACACGACAGCTTATACATGTAAAATAATCTGTATTGTCCCAGGGTCCTACGCATAGGGCTATCTGTAGTTTTATTCTCACTGATAATAAAGGATATATGCACTGATCATGATGAACATTTTCAAACTATTTTAATGCACCTGTGCCTTTGAACTAGTTGCAAAATTGAGAACTTGAGACTTAATATTGAGAGAAAAGAGGAAAATAGCAATGAACTTAAATTAGTCAACTGAGAATAAGCAACCAACCAAATAATGGGCAGGCACAGATAAAATCTTTGCCATTTCAAGCAAGGATTTAAACCCAAAATGAGTTTTAGAATGGTTTTTCATTGCCTTATCTGCTTTTTTGGCTCATTATATAATCTTCATTTGTTCATATCAATTATTTACTCTCATTTGTAATGATTTAGTAGCAATTTCTTATGTTGTTTCTCTGCTCACAAAAAAGTAGGTCAAGACGAGTTTACATTTTTAAATCTTTTATATATTATCAATATTAATGATGAAGTTCTAATAAATAAATTGATACAATTTAGGATGTACATATTCCTTAATAAAAAGTTCCAGCTTCACAAAGAAGAAAACTGGAGTGAAAATCATTAATGCTCTAACTTTGAAGAGTGTGCAGTAAAATTTTGTGAACTTGAAAACTTTTAAGGTACACATTTTACATCTAGAAATTAATTAAATAGTACATTTTTATATCAAATGATGTCTACTGGCCCAGTAAAATGTTCAAAGTGAGTAACATCAGCCTGAGAAAGAAAAAAACAATTGGAAGATAACACACAAAAACCAGAAACCTGTGATAAAAGGATGAGTTTCCTAGCCTAATGGAGATTTTTTTTTCTTGTGTGTGTGTGTGTGTTCAATGAAACTTTTTTTTTGTGCTCTGAACTTTAACTAACTTTAAACTAACTATCGAGAGCAGTGAGAATCTGTTGCTCATTTCACCCATTTAAGCAGTGCTTTTTAATTTACTGGATAGAGAAAACTTGGAGGAAAATCAACATATTGGTCTCAAAAGTTCTCTGCTCTGCTCCCTGAGGCAAAGTTCAAGGTGATGGGGTATTTATTCTTTTGATGTTATAGGTTTAGGGGAGGGTAATGATTAATGTCTCAGAGTAACTGAGGACAAGAGTGCCAAAGAAGAAAACAACAGTGACTTAAGGTGAAGGAAGTGAGAGAAGAAACTCTTAGCAAATGCCAACATGCATCTAGCAAGCTTCCAATGAACAAATGCTTTTGCACAGTGTGAACCCTTTGGTACAATGACACAAACTCAGGGAAAAAGAACTAAATTGACTAATTGACTGGGTTTAGTTTTTTGATATTTAGTACAATAGAGGTCAAAGATACAATTAGATTTTAAAAGAATATTATTTCTTCTGAAACTAATTTTTTTGGCTTAAGACATAACTGCTAAATACACATATATTAATGCATCACAGAGTATATTAAAACATTATTAAAGTGGTGGCAATTTTGTAATATTGTCAAATTGCTCAAGTGCTGAAGTAATTAAGACTCTGAATTAAACAAGTTCCAATTTCATATCTTGTTAGTCTTGATAAAATTAAACGTACTGATCATTAAGTAATAATATAATTGCTATGAAGTTATACTGTCTGTTTTGAAAGATATTCACTATCCAGGAAAGTAATGTGTGTGTGTGTGTGTGTGTGTGTGTGTGTGTATATATATATATATATAATTTTAAATTAATTATGGGAAGAGTTTCAGTAAAAAAAGTATTAAATAACAATTATTAGAAGACTTGACTTGAAGGATTTCTTAATTCTATTTTCAAATGAACACATTGCAGTAGCCAAATATTTCTAATGAATATGACAGTAAAAGCAAGATTTAAGCTATTTTTCTAAGCTTTCTTGACTATTGAACATAAACAAATATATATATATATTTTCCTTGTGGGCAAAAGTCACTACAGGGCAATCATACATATGGAGATCAAAAAAACTTCTGATTGACATTATTTTGGACAGAAAAATTTATTGTGAACATTTACAGATGCATTATATGTCAATCATCCGATGTCAATGTTTATAATTGCATGATTACCTACTTTTACACACACATGCACACGTTAATTATCTGGAGCTGAATATTGTCTCTAGGTATCCAATGCTAAATAGGGAAAAAACTCATTTCTTCCCACAAATTCTGTAGAAACTTTGCTCTATGCCTCCATCTAAACTCTAAGAGGGTTGAACTTCCTGCATTTTGACAATTAAAAAAAATCATCTCTGTCTTTTTTTAAGTGCAAGCAATTCCATCACTCCTTTTTAAAATATTTATTTTTAGGTGTAGATAGACACAACACAATGCCTTTATTTTATGTGGTGCTGAAGAAGGAACCTGGGTCCCACCCGTGCGAGGCGAGTGCTCTACTGCTGAGCCACAATCCCAGCCCCTCCATCACTCTTTTAAAAGAGATTGCATTAAGGTAGTCATGTGATTATGTTAACTAGGCAAAGAACACTATAGAACAAATAGGTTTAGATACAATGTTTAAAAGATCTAAAACAAAAATAAGCATCATGCATTACTAGCCATGACAGCTTATCAAAATAGGTTGATAACTTTGTAATTATAAATTTCCTTGACTATTTTGTAAATGATATTTTCCCAAGGCATTTGTTAGAAACTATGTACTTCTAGAAGCTACATTATAAATTGGAGGAAAATAGAAAAGTGTCCTCTATATTGAAAGTATTGCTCACAATATAAAGTCAGGCAAATTATTCCCAAGAAGTAGTCTGTGAAATCTAGGTATAAACTCACTGAAACTTAATTACTTAGTTATGTCAATCTAATGAGAGGATTAAGTGTAGGAGTCTGAATAACTATACATGAATTCTACTTCAAATTTTAAGTCAGTTTAAATTCTCCAGGGCTCAGTTATTCAAATAAATAAAATTATAGTCAAAAAACACTTTAAAAATAGAATATTGCAGTCATAAGAAAACATTAAATTTATCTTCTTTGTTAGTTATCCATATAATTGCAATAATGTATAAAAAACTAATGTTCATAATGAAAACTTATTCTGTATATAAAACTCTGAATTGATGATCTCTTAATCATCACACTAATACTAAGAAGTGGACTCTCCAATTATCTATATTTTATCTACAAAGTACTTGAACATTAGGTTGTTTGGGTTTTTCTCAGGTTTATGAAGCTAGTGCAAAGATCCCAGGATTGCCAAAAAAAAAAAAAAAGGTTGAAAAACAATGTTAGACAACTAAAAAACTTACAGCTATAGTAATCAAGATCATGCTGGCATAACAAAATAATGGAATAAAATAGAAGATAAATGAATTTTTACTTGTGTGGTCATCTGATTTTTGACAGAGGCCATAATGATGTTAGAATAATTAGCAATATCTATGAACAAGATGAGCCTCAATCTCTATCGCACATTATTGCCAAAAAAAACTAAAACATAAGGCTTTGAAAGGAAAATATCTTTGTGAATTTGAAGTAGGAAAGATTGTAATAAAAGTAAAAAAAAGTAATAACTAGTAAATGTCTTAAAATATAGCTCATAATTTCAATATTAAGAGCACTTTTTCAAAATAACCATTGATAATGTGAATATATAACAGAGAATAGGGAATAATATCCACAAAACACACATATATCACAAAAGACTGACATAAAGAAACAGAAATTATTCCCAACTCAAACATTTAAATATAAAAACACAAACATAATGTGAACAAAAGATTTGAACAAACTAAAATGATACATAGTTGTCCCATACACTTACATACATGAAAAAGTAGTTAATATTATTAGCCATCAGATAATGAACAGCTATAAACAATACCAGTAAATATCCACTAGAAAGACTGATTAGCAAGATTGCTAACATGGCATATTGGTTAGGAAGAGCAGAAACTGAAAATTTTATCTTTTTTTGATGGAAAAGTAAGACTACAATCCTTTGGAGAATTTTGGCATTTTTACACAAAATTTAATATATGCAGAAATATACCATGTATGTCATTTGCAAATGCACACACAGATATTTAATGTTCATATAATGGAACAGTGATCAACAATAATCAAGAAAAATGTATCTATGCAAATAGGATCAAGGACAGATGTCAAAGATAAGTGGTGTGAATGAAATTTTACAAAGAATAGTACATATGGCTTGATTGATTTATTTTTAGTATTAAACAAAGCTAATCCATGATTTAAGAAAAAAGTGACAATACAGATTACTATTGTGTGTGGTGTGGAGGTTCAATGGACATGAAGAAATGGTCTTAAATAATGGTAGTAATTCATATCTTTAGATGTATCTGAGTTACACGAATATATTTATTTGTCAAAACTCAGTGAATGCACAATTGACCTTTGTGCAATTGCATTACATGATTTAAAAAACAGAAAAGAAGCTATAAAATTATCTTGAATACTACTTCCCAATATACACATTGAAATGATCAGGGGGGAACATATATGTGAAATTAATGTTGAAATAAATAAAAATTAAATATACTGTTGGATGTATGGTAGAATGGATATATATATATATGATTAAATACATGTAAGACAATTTCAGTGGATTGATTTACATGGTGGGTATGTGGATGCTTACAATTTTGGGTGCATTTGAA